GCACCCTACCTCCACTTTGTGGGGCAGTTGTTAAAGTGTCTATATTCTATTTTTCCTATTTTCCTAAGAAATTCCTAGGAGTTTCCTAGGAATTTCCTTAGGGACCTAATCTTGGTCAGACAAAAGTGAAATGTGTATCCTAAGAAATTCCTAGGAATTTCCTAGGATTTTTTTTTGGATTTTAATTTTTTCACTCCTAGGAATTTCCTAGGAAATTTCTAGGAATTCTTTGAATTCTTCGTCCCAATTTACTGTGAAATTTCACACCTTATTCCTAGGAATTTCCTAGGAATATTCTTAGGAAATTCCTAGGAAAATCTTAGGATTTCCTAGGAATTTCCTAGATCTTTTCGCAAGGGGAAGAAGCGTACACAATGTCCGTATTGAGCGACTTTGGCGGGAGATGAATAGGGTGGTCATTGCATTTTACAAGGATATCTTTCATTTCTTGGAAGACTCATTTTTGCTTGATTCAAACTCTGAGTTAGATCTGTTTGCTCTACATTACATCTACCAACCAAGGATCAATGCATCACTTAAGCAATTTGTAGAGCAGTGGAACGTTCATAAGACACGTACTGCAGGATACCATTCCCCAATGGCATTGTGGCATGCTGGCACTTTACAAAGTATGGATGATGCAGTGCTTGATTGTGAACCAGAATCTTATGGCATTGACTTTGAATCAAGTATGTCAGAGATGAATGGTGATGTTGATATTGTTGTTCCTGAAAACCAAGTCCAACTGACTGAACAAGAAATGGCAGTCCTAAAGACCCATGTGCCAGATCCCTTAGAGGATGATGGGAACTCTGGAATTGATCTTTTCATCAGTGTTTGCGATGTTGTCAAATCAGTAAACAACATGCCTTAGTTAAACGGTTTTGTTCATGAAAATTATTGTTAGTGAGGAAAAACGCTTGGGGGAAGTTGCACCAACCCCAGTTTAACTGTTACTTTTTCTACACAGTCACTTAATAATAATATCCTCATTTAATTTCTTTGACTGTTCTGGCATTGTTATGAGATGTGACTCCATTACTGGGTTTTTTATCAGTCATCATGCCATCAAAACTCACCTATCTTTCTTTGGATCTAAGAATAGAGAGGGGCCTGGGGCCTGCTTCCTTTGGGCACTTAAAGATCTACCAATAATAATAGCTCCTCTATTGCAGTGATAAGATTCTTTTTCAGTTTCATTTTTATTTACATTTGGCCTCGGCCAAATTTGTTAGAAACTGCTGCAGTTTTCTTTGATTTATGATTGGCTTATTGCTTCCCCCACTGTAGTACATGTATGTCCTAAAGTAAAGTTAAATGCACTAGATCTCTTCCTACCACAGACTGTTACTTGTAAATTTGGATGCGTTGAAATTGTTCGAGACAAGGCCAAGAAAAGGGAAGTTGGAAAAGTAGGAATTTGGGAATCTGTTTCTTTGTTTGTATTTTTTACATTTTGGAATTTTGCTTCATGACAATGTTCAAAGATATATGATGGCACACCTATTTAATCATGTGCATGAAAAGTTTACCAGAAACAAAAATAGAATATATAAATAAAAATAACAAAAACCATTCTGAATTCCACCATTCAAGCTTTTCCCACCTATCAGCATGGTAACGATTGAAAAGTCCAAGGTCCATATTGGGTTTGTTATTACGTTTTTTATTAACTTAAAACAAGAAAAGGATCTTTCCATTTGTTCACAATTTTTCCAGTCCTGTGATTTTATACAACAATGATGAAACAATATTGTTATTTGTCCTAGTAAATTAATCAGAATATCAGGAATTTAGAATCATAATTATGAATTACATACAGTAATTTAAATTTACTGGTACATATTTGTTTAGTTTTGCAAGAACTCAACATTTGAAATGATAACGCAATGCCAAAAGCTCAAAAGAAATGACAAACATTCAGTGACAATTGTCATTTGAGATTTTTACTTTTCTCTTGTAAAGCTATAACGAACTTGTGCTGTGTTTTATAAATTCAACTAACCTTTCTCAGGCAATAGACATCTAAATAATTTTGTGAAACTTAGAACAAAGTCAGCTGTGCTATGAAATAATTGTAGAAATGGTTTCTGCAAAAGCCCTTCTCAGGTTTTTGTGACTTCAAATAATTAGCGGTAGAAGGACTGTCTTAAAAGTGAATGTAAGGTGCAGTTTGCTAATAATCCTCTCATGGCATGCTCTCTTGGCTGGGGTTTTCAGTGACTCGCAGCAGCAGAACTGGCACATTGGAACCAGCGAGTCAAGGGTGGCGGCAGGGGAAATGGGGTCTGGATACAGAAATTTTTTTTTTACTAGTCCCTCTCCTACATTGCTTAGAGATCGCAGGTCTTCAAATGAAAACCCAACCAATTGAGCTGAAATGCAGGCTAAGAATACATTCAAGTAAAGACCTAAATCATGTCAAAAGACCATGCTTGGTCTTCTTTCATGATATTAGTAAATTCTTCTAACAAAGCTGGATACGATTCATATGTAGTTGGTAGCTCTAGCAGTGGTACACATGTGCGAGCTACAGGGCGTCGTTGGAGACCTTCCAAAGAAGTGAAGGACACTTCAATGTCATCACATGTAATGACGTCACTTCCTGTGCAGAAATGAAGGAACTTGGCCAATGCCTTTCGTTCTAAGGATTTGACAAACCTTTTAAGATGTCCCAGACTCTGCCGTTCAGCATCATTAGATGGCTCTGCCTTGAACAGGTTATTGATTTTCCTAGCTGTTGGGCGCTTCCTGTCATATAGTTCCTTGAGACCTTCAAGGGTTTGAAAACTGTGATCAAAGCGCAGTGAGTCCAGAATAGGGGCCCAGCTGTTTAATACATATCTTGCTTTCTGAACCAATTCTTGGTGAGCCAACTCCATGATTATTGTTTCAATGTTGTTTTTGTTGGGCAACCTGAAGCACTTTAATGCAGAGAGGAATTCAATTGTTTCTTTATCCTCTGGGTCGAAAGCATCACTGAGACACTTGTCTAAGACCTCTCTATCTTCAGCTGCAATATACTCTCTAAATGATGCTAGAAGCAAGTCTGGTGTAATACTTTCTTCACCAAACAAGCATGATGCCAAAAATAGATGAGAAAGTTTCAGAGGGAAGTACTTAACAGTCTTGTAACCATAAACCAAGATTCTTGCAATAGCTTCCCATTCAGGTTTCTGCAGATCATGCCTGATGAAAGGAATCTTCTCTGCGCTACCAACAGTGAGTGAAGTGAAGAAAGCCTGCCAGAATTCAGTAAGCGCATCAAGAACTCCCCTGCCTTTGCCTTGTTCTGCATTGCCATTTGAATCAATGACAGTGACATCAAGTTGACAGGATGAAATACTGGGATCACTGAATGTTTCAATTGGGTCTTTCCTCATGGTACTTCGATAAACAGTGATGGACCTTGTTGGTGCATCATTATCATCATAAAGCATGGGAAGAAATTCAACACCATCATCTGCAGATAAAACAATAAATTACAGCCAAGAAAGCATAAAGCAATGAATTGGATCCATGAAAAGTTAATAACTCACTTTAATTTTAAAATTGTAAGAAAGCTGATGAGTTAAGAGGGGAAAATAAATGAAGCCAGAAATGAATCGATTGCTACTCTTAACTGTTTCTGCGCACCCTCGCTGTGCAAGTTATTCATAGTGCAATGTCACGCCACGCAACAAAGCTTTCAGTGAACCCCAATTTTTTTGGGCATTTCTACTGAGCAACTCATTATTTGACTTAGAAAAGTTGACTAAAAATATTTTTCGGGAACAGAATCAACAAATCTGTACTAAAATGCAGTAAACTACCATAATTATACAATCATGATAAATTTAACCCAAATAATTAGAGTAGAATAACACTAAACAACTACCTATATGACACTACAGTTTATAGCATTGAGAAAGATAGATTATACCACACCAAAGCTGTATTTTATATGTATTTTATGGCAAAGGTTACATGGGTTATGAATTGGCTCAACCACTTGGGCTTCTTGCAGTTGGATGGTGTGATCTGACTGAATTGCCTGATCAGGCATGGCCTGTAGTAACTGGATGGTGTGCCCTGACTGGGTTGTCTGATCAGGTATGGCCTGCTGTGACTGCATAGTGTGCCCTGACTGGGTTGCCTGATCAGGTATGGCCTGCTGTGATTGCATGGTGTGTCCTGTCTGGGTTGCCTGATCAGGTATGGCCTGCTGTGATTGCATGGTGTGCCCTGACTGGGTTGCCTGATCAGGTATCGCTTGTTGTAACTGGATGGTGTGACTTGACTGGATTGCCTGAGCAGGTGTGGCCTGTTGTGACTGGATGGTGTGACTTGACTGGGTCACCTGGGTAGGTTGCATGGTGTGACCTGATTGGGTTGTCTGTACACCTTGGACCTGTTGCAGCTTGATGGTGTCGCCTGAGTGGTTTAGCTTTTGGATTCCTGTTGTAAAAAATTGAAAATTATATAGTACAAGTAGCATCCAGTATTCCATCGGAACCTGTAACCTAGCTGTTATGCCTGTACAGTTGTCACAACTGAGAGTTACCCTACAAATGGTAAGTACTACAACAGAAAAGGTACATAATGTTTACCTATGTGCAGTCTTGTCACATCTGTATCCAATTATGGAATGGTTACTAAATTCATAGTCTAACCTTGTTAATGCAATAGTTATCACTACTCGATGAGTCGGAAAAAAAAAGAAAACAAGTACAATGAGACCATTTCACTGCAGTCTTGCATAAAAACAGACACACATACAAGGCCCTACAAACAAGATTGGAGCAATATTTCATAAAAAAAATACTACCCAGGACTCTGCTCTTGATTAGAGCACTCCAATGAGTTTTTAAACAGTTTACAATTGAAAAAATAATAATGCAACCCTCCACAATCTCATTTCCAGAGGCTTTATGTACAAACACTTGACGGTGGTTAAGTTATGGGATGAGCAAATGCAACCTCCATACTGTCGAACCAGTACTTCAAATTTTAAGTAGAATGAAAATCACATTGTTTAATGGCTTCTTTTACCTGGGTAGTCTTCCTGTTCATGGCGTATGTCAACCTTTTCATCATCACTTAACTATAATAAAAATAAAAATACTCCAGCCTTACTAATAATGACAACTTACACAACAAATAACCTATTAAAGTAAAATTATAACGAAAAATAAACAAAAAATAGGAAAACTAAACAGACCTGCTGTCAAGAAAAATGACTCTATAGAATCTAGAAACAGTTCCTGGGGTGGGGGGCGGGGAGAGAGAGGAGGGAAAAGATGATATAAGCAATAAGCAATGTGAAATGGTTATGCCAATGTTGCCTGTGCTGGCAAGTAACAAAAGTGTGATCGAGTACTTGAAACAGTGGAATGAATCCCTAGCTACTATAAGATTACACTAAGTAATAACACAAGCCATATAAGTGTGGAGACGTCGCAAGTGTCATGACGTCATTTGCAATAGAGCTCGTGCTAAAAAAATAACAGGCATCCTGAATAAGTCTTGCATCCCACACCACTGCCAACCAAAGTTTATTATTTATAATTAATGTATCAGACTGATCGACCAATGCATATCAACAAATTTGGATTGAAAAGTTTTATGACATCGTGTGTAACCCAACTATTGACCATGCAGTCTAGAAAGTCAAGAAAGTGGAGAGTGCCAAAGGGAGGCACGATTCTCCTATAAACCCGCTAGGACTTTCCTCCCATAACCCGTCGTGTTTTGGGCCATAGCGATCGTCATTCTCAATCACCAATCGTTAATCTCAATCATAGCGATCTTCATTCTCGATCCCCAATCGTGATTCTCAACCATAGCGATCGTTGTTATCGATCACCAATCGATAATCTCAATCATCAATCGTGATTTCATACCACTTTTGAATGGTTTGGCCTTACATACTTGCCAGCTATGTGGCAATTGCCTAATTCAAAATGTGGTCTGCCAGGCCACAGCTGAAAGTCCCTTGAGAACCCAAACGTACGTCGGCCTTACTGCGAACCAATTTAAATCAAGATTTAGAAATCATACAGCTTCATTTAGACATGAGATCAAAAAGGAACGCAACAGAGTTGAGCAAATATATCTGTCCCTAAAGGATGCTGAAACGGAGTTTTTCGTGACCTGGAAAATAATAGCTCGCGCCAGGCCGTACTCAAATACTACAAAGAGATGCAATCTTTGCATAGCTGAAAAATTTTTTATCATTTGCAGAACAGGGGCGGGCACCCTAAACAAAAGGAACGAACTGGCGAGTGCGTGCCGGCACTCAACTAAATATTTGATAAGGCATGCTCAAACCACCTACTTAAAAAAGGATCGTTAGTCAACTAGTATCTTATGCACCTGATGAGAGAGGACTTTTAACCCTTTCGAAACAGATCTGTAGTGCGAAGTTTTAGTGCGAAGTTTTAATTTTTATTTTCCTAAATAATTGTTTACAAAGCTCCATGATTATAGAGCACTCTCCGATTCAAGGATAAGGTTTTTTACGTTTATATATATATATATATATATATAGAGGAAAAATATTGTAGTACACGAGGACGGACAACTTCGAGCTAAGAAAGACATATACTCGAATAAAAAGTCTAAGAAAGTTTAATAAAAACGGACCAAAACGTTTTTATTAAACTTTCTTAGACTTTTTATTTGAGTATG